CTCTCTCTCTCTCTCTCTCTCTCTCTCTCTCTCTCTCTCTTCAATTTAAGAGCTCTTTAATTCTTTCTAAAGGGATTTTTATTTCAAAAAAATTGCTACAGTTTTTTTTTCGTGCTTCTTTTTGGTATAATTCAATTTTTAGATTATGATGGATATATTCAATGAAAATAGCAGTAGCCTCAGCAGCAAAAGTAGTAAGAATAATAACCGTTTTTTTCCAATAAATTAAAGGTAAAAAATATTGGATTCGAGGATTTTCTTTTTAAAAGATTTTTTGTTTTCTGGTTCAAAAGTTCAATTTTGTTGGTCTTTCAACAACAACAACGACGACGACGAATAAAAGATAAAGGAAAATTGTATTTTTCATTTCCAATCGATTAATCACTGATGATGATTGGAAAATAAAGAAGAAAAAAAGAAGAAGAAGAAGAAACCGCAAAACAAAACAAAACAAACATAGAGAAAAATATTGTCATTGAATGTTTTTCTTTTTATTCTTTTTTATTCTTTGGTTACATCAATGAATTATTGAAAGAATTTTCCATTCATTTTCATTTTCATTTTCATTTTTCTTTCTTCTTTCTCAAACAAAAATAGGATCATCAAAGGATTTCCACCAGTATCACCATATGTAGGTGTATCACCAACGCTTTGTTATTTGCTCAAAGAGAAAAAACCATCATGCTGTCTTCAAATATCAATGGTTTGTTTGTTTGTTTTGTTTTGTTGTTTTGCCCGAAAAAAAACAAAACCGAAAAAAATTCTTTAACTTTTGAAATCGATATGTTTTATGCTATGTTTTTCAGTATTGCCTTACCACCACCACTACCAGCCCCAGCAAATGAATACCAAAAACAAGGAAAAAGCAAAAGGAAATGATTTGATCTTATCGATTATTATTTAGAATGTCTGCCTGTTTATTTTCTTATTTATCTTATCAACAACAAAATCATCGTCATCATTATTTCATTTGTCGGGAAATAGGTTTTTCTACTGTACTTTTTTTGTGTTTTTGTTTTGACTTTTAACATCAAATGGGAATGGACCAAAAAAAAAATTAGGCGCTGAATAAAGATAAGGAATAAAAAAAAACAACCACACAACACAAACCTTTTGTGGTGACATGACAGATAAATTGATAGCAAACAAAAACCAAACAAACCAAAATGTAATTATTTGGTTTAATGCGCGCGTGTGTGTAATCATTATCATCATCGATGGTTAAATAAATAAAAAGAATCTGATCATCATTTCTAAATGTCCAGTTTGTTTGCTCGATTCCATAACAAATGATGATGATGTGATAATAATGTTCAATGGTGGTAATGGTAGTAATCGTTTGTGGTGTTTATAACGGGGGAAAAAACAAAAACATAATGAATATCGATTACCATTCGTGTGCGTGAATACCAGAAACCTTTATTTTTCTCATATTTCATTTCATTTTTAGTTTAGTTTTTTGGTTTTTTGGTTTGTTTGTTTGTTTGTTTGCTTGCCTGCTATCACTTTCTATTAATAATGATCCAAGATGATGATGATTCAGTATAATGGTTTTCTGTTTTATTTATTTTGTTTTTTCGTTTTTCTTCCGTTGTTTTTGTGGTTTTTGTTTCAGCCATGTGAACATTGTCCATATTTTCATTCACGTGATTATGATTGGCAAGGTATAAAATGTATAATATTAGCAGCAGATTATGCAAGTTATGGTATTTATAATTTTATAATACCATTACGTGCACATTTTCATCAATCAACAAGTTTACGGCCAATTATATTACTGTTGGAAAAAACACCAAGTTTAGCATTTATTGATGCAATTTCATGGTTTCCATTAGTTTATTGGATGAAAGGATGTATTGATAAGTAAGTTGTCAAACGATTACAATGTAAATTGATTTTATCGATTGAAATTCATTTTGTTTTTAAACAGTCTTGATGATCTAATTAGAGCCGGTATTAATCTATCCGATTCGGTTGTTGTTGTAAATAAAGAAACAACAAATTCAGCTGAAGAAGATTATCTTTCCGATTGTAATACAATTGTTGCCGTACAAACAATGTTTAAAATGTTTCCATCCGTACGAATTATAACCGAATTATCACAATCAAGTAATATGCGTTTTATGCAATTTCGTGCACATGATATTTATGCATTATCATTATCTAAAATGGAAAAGGTAAATTATTACATTATCAAAGGATTAATACGATCGATACTATCGATATTTTTTTGAATTATTATTATCATTGTCGTTTATTAGCATGAACGTGAACGTGGATCACATATATCATATATGTTTCGTTTACCATTTGCGGCTGGTAATGTATTCAGTGCATCAATGTTGGATACATTACTTTATCAGGCATTTGTTAAAGATTATATGATTACAATTATACGTTTATTATTGGGTATTGATCAAGCACCTGGTTCTGGTTTTCTATCTTCGATGCGTATTACTAAAGATGATCTTTGGATACGTACTTATGGTCGTCTTTATCAACGTCTTTGTTCAACTACATGTGAAATTCCTATCGGTATTTATCGTACACAAAGTACACATTCAAATGATATTGGAACGGTAATTATATTTTTTTTTTGTTGAGATAACTAACTATTCACTAATCAATTTTTCATACAGGGTATACAGATTTCATTTGATTTTATGTTACCATTAACCGAACAGATGAATTATCAGGCACTTACATATGAAGTTGAACGTCAAGAAATATCAAATTTAGTACGGAATCGTCTTCAAGATCTTGGAATTCCATCCAATGATTATGGTTAGTATTTTGTTTTCGTTTTTTTTTGTCAACCATATAATTATATTCCGTTTTCATTGTCTGTCTCTCCCTCTCAATATATGTCATTGATATAGATAATTGTTCGGAAAAACGAACCGAACTATCCTATGTTATAATCAATCCAAATTGTGATCTTAAACTTGAAGAAGGTGATATCATGTAAGAATTTATTACAAACAAAAATGATCAAATTTTCTAGTTTTTTTTCATTTGGATTTTTCTTTCGTTTTTTTTTCTCTTTTCAATCAGTTTCATAATCAAACCAAGCCCGGTGAATAGTAAAAAAATGTTTCTAAATCGTGCAAGTTCATTACGATCAAAATCACCGTTACGAAAAAAAAGAAAAAAGAAACATTCTAATGATAATGATGATGGTAATGGTAATTGTCATTTAACCAATATTAATCATAATAGTGGCGTTAGTGGTGGTGGTGGTCTTCGTGTAAGTGCAGTGGATGGTATCAGTATGCTTAGTATTGTTGATTCAACCAGACAATTATCATCAGTGAATGGTAAAGGTGATTTAACAACCAAATCCATATCATCCGTATCAAAATCATCATCAACATCGACATCCACATCATCATCTGCATCATCAAATTCATCAAGAGCATCATTACATGTTGATGATAATATTGAACAACATATTTGTAGAAATAATCGTCGAAAAGCACCATATTTAAATAAATTAAAAGGAAAGAATAATTTTTTTTCAATCGATAATAGTAATATTAATAATAATAATAATGATCATCGTCGTCATCGTCGTCATGGTAAAAATAAAAATCAACCAACATCATCATTATTATTATCATCGACAACAACAACAACAACAGCGACAACGACAACAACAACAATGAGAAAAAATCGATTACCCAAATTAATGATTGAATGTAAAACAAATAATAATAATGATGATGTTATCGATAATGATGATACGGATAGTGATGATTGTATTATATTGCCTGCTATAACAGTACCAAAAAATTATAATGGTAATCTTTTTGATAATCAACAACAACAACAACATGATAATAATCCGAATACTGATGATGATGATGATAAACATTCTTATCAGCGAAAAATTCATCAAAAAAATTCTGAAATTGTACAGATTTGTATTGATTCACCAAGTGAAGAAGAATTATCAACAAAATTATCAACAAATACTAATGTTACAATAACTGGTCCAACACAAACAACAGCCGCATCAACATCTGCGTCCGTATCCGCATCATCAGCGACGACTAATCATAATAATGATGATAATAATCAAACATTTAATGGTACTATTGTTTAGTTAGAAAAATTATTCAACAAAACAAATTCCGATACATCAGACGTCATCAGATCATCAGATTTTTTTTTTTTTGTTCAAGTTTTATAAACAAGGAAGTCAGAAAGGGAGAATGAGAAAAATGAATTTTTTCATTTTGTTAAACAATTTTTTTTTCACATGTTTAAAAACTTTGAATTTCGTTGTTTTTTATTGGTTCCCGGATGAATATCCCGGTTGTTACATTTTTGTTGTTACATTTTTTTCGATTTTTCGATTCCGGGTAAAACCAAAACAAAAATTGTATGTGATTTTTTTCAAATTTCATTTCCCGATCAGGAAACGATTATGATCGATATTTTTCAACAAAATTGAATCGTTCGTTTTGTTGTTGTTGTTGTTGTTATTATTAAAAGAGAGAATATTAAAAGTAATTTTTGATTTTTTATGGATGAAAATTTGTTTTTTTTTTTTTGGGAAAACGATGATTATCATTTTTTTCACAGAATCTATATAGATTTTTCGTGGACGGAAATGATACATTTTTTTTCTTGGTAAAATATTGGAAAAACTTTCTGTTTGTTTTGTTTTGGTTCATATTCAATTGATTTTGTTTGATTTTTTTAATTAGATTTGTTTGCTTTTCTCTATCGGTGTTTGGTGGTGTTTTTTAATTGAGAGGAAGAAAACAACATGGAAAAAATTATCCTAACATGGAAAAATTGTTTCATTCAATTCGGTGTTTTTTTTGTCTATTTTGGTTAGCGATTAACTTTATTCAGGTCATGGTTTTTTACAGTTTTTTTTGTTCAAAGTGAAGAGAAATTGGGGAAAGCAAAATATTCCATTTCATTTGGCCAAAAAAAATGTTTTTTCCTAATCATGTTGATTTCTTTGAAAAATGAAGATGTTTGTTTTGTTCTGTGTGTATCGTTTATAATCAATCAATCAATCAATCAATTATCAAATTTGGCAAAGTTATTGGCATCGAACAACCAAAAACAACAACAACAACAACAACCGAAAACAAAGATTTAATTCAAAATACGAAACAAGGTCATCTTTTTTTCTTTTTTTGATTAAAATTAATGAAGAAGTAAGTAATTAAGTAAAAGTGAATGTAAGTAAAAAAATCCAGAACAGTAAAAATGATAATCAATCAATCGATTGATCGAATGAATGAAGATCATCATCATCATCATCAATGAGGATTTTATCGATTAAATAATCATCATCATGTTTTTTTGGAAAATCTTTTGCTTAGCAACTTTATCATTATACACTGAACTGTTTGTGCTTGATTAATATTAGCGATGAATGAATGAATAGAAATTTATTGAATTTATAAATTTTCAAATCATATTTTATCGAGGCAAAAAAATACAAATATTTTTTTTGTTTGTCCTAAAAGTCCAAAGTTTTTTCGTTTGCATTCGTTAATTATCATTTTTGTTTTTTTTTTTTTTGACAAGCCAGAAAAAGTTACCAAACATTTTTTTTTTTTGGAAGAAAACGAATCAAATGAATTTCGTAAATGTCATGACATGACATGAAATCGATTGATATTGCACACATGCATGTATCATGGAATGAATGAACTTTTGGACATAACAACAACAAGTGTATGAAATATGAATGAATGAATGAATGAAATTTCACTTAAATGGTCATTCGCATTTGATTGATTGCAATTTTGCAATTGCTAAACACACAACAGAAAAAAAAAATTGCAAAATTGCAATCAATATGAAATCATCAATTGAGATCACCCTTCATTTTTCAATTTCATAATGACAACAGCAAATAAAAAAATCTTTAAATGAAATGAATCATTGAATTTTTGGCAAAGAACAACTTGTTGTTACCGGTTTTTTTTCCTGATTTCCATCTCTGAAATCACCACCCCTCAGTATATCGGTTTTTTTTGCGTTTTGCTGTTGAAATGTTCGATGATCAGACATATCTGAAGAAAAAATAAAGAAAAAAAATCTTGCACATTGATTACACCATGACCGTAATCATCAAACAATCGTAAATTTATTGACCTCAAATTTGTTCACAAACAAACAAACAAACAAACAAACGAACGATGAAACAACGTCGTTGAAGATGAATGACGTTAAACAAACGTTTTTTGTTTTTTTTTTCAGTTGATCATTTCATTCATCGGTCATATTCGGATGCAATAACCATCATCATCATCATGGATGCCAGAATCAAAAAACTAAATAAACATTAAACTTTGAATAATAATAACAATTCTGATGCAATAAAACTATTGAAATATTTTCAAATTTATCAATATTACCAAATGATGATGATCGTCATTCATGAAACAGCAAAAAGCAAAAAAAAAAAAAAACAAAAATCTGTCTCGATATTTTTTATCTTAAATTTTCAATCAAATTAATCTTATTGTACTTTTTTTTTTGAATTTTTTCAAAGAAAAAAAGAAACCGGCTAATATAAATCTGTCCTTGAAATGTATGACAGTGTTTGAACTTTATTTTCTTTCCACCAAAAAAAGATTCATAGATAGATTTCATTAGTAAAAGTTTTATCATTGTCATTTTACTCCATTCATTCATTCATTCATTCATATATTCTTTTGAAAAAAGAAAGATTACAACAAAAAAAAATTTACAATCATTATCATTGATATGTTGAATATATGCATCTTGTTCATATTTTTACGATATACTTTTTTTTGCCATCATTTTTTCGGTCGTTACTAATAATTTTTTTTTCTTTTTCTTTTTTTTTTGGTTGTTGATAAAATTCACGTTTCACTTATAATGAATATAAATTCAAAAATTTCAAAAATGCTCTGATTTTGCTTCATTTCGTTTGATGCTGCATGATACTCGATTGGAAATGAAAAGAAATTTAGTTTCAAAGAAAATTTTTTTTTTATGATTTACTTTCACTTTTTTTTTCACTCTGGTTATTGGCGGTTCAAATTAGTCTGTCTGTGTCTTTAGGAAAAATAATTTACCAAACATAAATAAATAAATAACCAAATCGTTCTGGATTTATCCAAATTCATTGAATTATGTAATGTGATCACATGATATTTTGTTTCAGTTGGTTTTAATTTATTTTTTTTTTGTTGGTTAAATCGATTCTTTTCAAGTTTACTGGCTGTCGTCCAGTGTATACAAAGACGCACGTTTCAAGCATTGATTTTTTGAAAAAAAAAGATTTTAAAATTCAAAAAACAAAAAACAAAAATCTAGTCCGTTCGCAAAAAAAATGAATAAAAATTATATGTATCATTTGGAATTAATGTTTGAAACAAGCTATTAATGGCCACCACCACCACCACCACCACCACCGTCAATATCGATCAAACGAAAAATAAAATCTATCGATGTTTATGGATGGTAAATGTATGTATGTATGTATGTATGTGTGTGTGTATATGGTGTGGTGTGTTTTATGAGACGATCATGATCATTGCATCAAATATCATCATCATTAAAAGCACATAAAACATCGCATCGTATCAATGATGATAATAATGATGATGATGACGATGAATAACAAATTTTTTTTTTCGATTTTATTATTATTGTATAAATGCTTTTTAAACTAGATAAATAAATAAATAATAAGTAAATATATATATAGTGATGATCGCCGTCATTGAAATTGGAAATTTGTTTCGAAAAAAAAATTTGTTTCGTTCACTTTCTCTTTCATTCACTTACTTTTCATTCATTCAATTCATTTCATTTCATTCACTTACATCTTGATCATCATCATCAACACGAAATTTGATATAAAAAGAGCATCAATGTTCATCAATTCAACAATATATATTTCCATTTCATTATCGAAATGAACACATAAAGAGAGAGAAAGAGTGAAAGAAAGAGTGAAAAAACCTACAAAACTAATTCAAACATTGATACATTCTATTCAATTGATTGTTTGTTTGTCTTTTCTTTTCGTACTTCTTCTTAGATTCAAATTGCCTGAATTTTACTTAACATCATTCCGCATCACCATAATCATCATTAATTTTCATCAACAGCACAAACATTTCATTAAAAAGATCAATAAGATCATTATCATCAAATCAACAACATTTACCTGTGTGTGTAGATTTTTTTTCATTTTCTCCTATTCTGCAACTTTTGAAAGTTGCTTTTTTACCCAACACATACTTACATCACATCAACAAAAAATACAACATGAGTTCATCATTCACACAACGAATAATGATCTCGAAAAACATGATTTTAAATCATCATCACCGACAGCATCATCATCATCATAATTATAGGCGAATGTCCTTTATGATCAACAGAAATAGTCTAATGTTGTTGATGACAACAATAATATTCATCATAATTATCAATATAAATAATGATAATACATCGGTATTATGTAATCCATTAATGAATATGAAAAATTTTAATCAAGAATCATCATCATCATTACATTCACGTTCAATAACATCAAATATTCATAGCGATGAAAATGATAATGATAATAATAATAATAATAATGAAGAAAATGATGAATGGAAAAATGTATTGAAAAAAATGACGGAAAAAAATCCATGCGGTTCGAATGAAAATTATACAATGTGTGTACAATGTGGACAATGGACTGGTAATGAAGATGCATTCTATCTTTGTTGTCTTAATTTGGATGGTGTACGTGAATATTGTCATAATTTTATTAATTATGATTTGGATGTTGAACAAAGAAAAAAATCAAAATGAATATTGAAAAAAAAAAATAGGAATGGAGAAACGATAAATCCAGTGATACTCGTAATTCGCTATTTGAATTTATTATTATTATTATCATCATCATTTTGTGGTTCAAATTCCTCTTCTTCGTAAACCGTATCGTATATTTGGTATCGATCATAAGAAATTATTTTTCAAACAAAAATAAAAAAATTAACCACCGATTTTTCACAGCCACATCGATTTCCAAAAAATTACATTCATTATTTTTTTGGATCATTTTTCTTCTTCTTCTTTCAATTCTGCCTAAATCCTATTTAATCATGTTGATCATTTCATTTCATTTCATTTCGTTTTTTTGTTTTCGCACTATCAATTTTGTTTATCTCTCTCTTAAATTATTATACACATCAATCAATCATTGCATTTTCAATCAATCTGATCATTCAAAATTGATTGATTGATCACTAAACATTATATACTTAAAGCAAACAAAAAACCATATTTTACCTGAAATGGAAATTTCAACAGAAAAAAAAATATAAACAAAAAATTCCAATTTTTTTTTCTTTGCAAAAACTTAATTCATATAAATTTTGTTCATTATACACACACACACTTTCATTATTTATTTGTTGTTTTTACTTTTTTTTGATTGATTGATTGATTCATAAAATGAAAAAAGAAATTTAATAAAAACAAAAATTGATTTTCAATGATTTTTGATTCTAAATTAAGATTCTTATTTTTAGAATCAAAATTTAAATTTATATATTATGAATAGCAGCAGCAGCAGCAGCAGTGATCGATATGCCATCTTTATTGATTAGAAGGCTTAGCAAACCAAAAATTTCTTTTATTACTTTTTCAATTTGATCAATGGCCGTAATCGTCGTTTACGTTGTTCATCCACATATTGATTGATACGATCATCGATAGGAATATCTATGTAGTTGTTGAGAGAAAATAAAGAAAGTAAAACAAACAAAAAAAATTAATCAAAATTATAACATCATCATAGATCATATGATATGATAATATAATCAAATGATTCCGTTCGTATGATGTTTATTATGACAAAATCATGTGATTTAAATCATCAGATATATTGTTATTAATAAACTAATAATGTTCGCGTGTAAAAATTGAATTGATTTTCTTCTTTTTCTTTCTTTTGAAAATTACCTAAATGTTTTCCAATAAATTGTATGGCAAGATTTGTTGTTAAATCATGTACCATAATCGGGTTGATACGATTACGCCAGCTAAATGTATTGAATATTCGATTAAAGGCACTGAATACATATGGTATATCGCTTTGTTGTAGATGATTACTACCATTTATTATAATAGCTTGTCGATCATCTTTATTATTATCATCATCATTATTATCATTTGATCGAATCCAATCATTAATTAATTTTGTATTGGGCATTTTTGATAAATTTTCTGAAAATATCATCGATACTGGTTGTGGTATTAAATCTAATGCTTCATCTTTAATTGGAAACATCCATGGATCAAGTGCAATAATTGTTTTAAATCGTAATTCAGCTGCACCGGCCATCAATACTGTTGCACCACCAAATGAATGACCCATCAATGATATTCGTTCCATGTCTATTGATTTGATTTGAAGAAACAAAAAATTCAAATTAAATTATAATGAACATAATGATAATCATTTATTTTTTAATACCAAGCATATTTTCAAATTCACGATAATTATATCCTGGATCAAGAAGATTATCAATTTCATAACCAGCATTTAATGCTTCCATTAGATCTAATGCACGTGTACATTCACGAACACGTTGATTGATTTGTTTTTTTCGAAATGCTAGCACATCATCATCAGCACGAAATACGCTTACATAACGAAAACGAATCCATGCTAATTCTAAATGTGGTATATGTGTTAATGCAGTTAATGCTTTTGGTGGTACATAATTAGGATCATCAATTTCATCACCAAAATCAACTTCATCATCGGCATCAACTTGATCACCAGTTTGATTGAAAAAATCTGGATTTGAATTCTTAAATGAATAAGTTGGACGTTTTGGATAAAATGTTAAACAAGCTGAATTATCACGATGTTCTAAAGCTATTTGGAAAAAAATCAAAAATTAAAATTGTTGTAGATTTCTTGACTTTTTTTTTAAACCTTACCTGCAACAACAAATCCTTGTGAGGCCAGCTCACAACAGATTGCTGAATAAGTTGTACGACATGAACCAAGACCATGTGAAAATATTATGATTGGATATTTTTGTCCATCCGGTAATGGATGTGGTCGTGCATTCGGTACAGCCGGTATGAAAACATTTTTTTTACGAATTTTATTTGCCATTGAAAACATAAATTGTGATCGTATATTAGCAACATCGGCATAACCTTGTGTATAGAATTCATGCGGTAACCAATTTGGCCATAAAAATGGATTCATTTCATATTGTTTACCCGAATTCGTTTTAGCTGGATAATAAATACGAGTAAGTATACCACTTTTACGTGATAATCCAATCATTAAATCACGACAACCAATTTTTTGATATTTTCCTGTCGGTAATGGTACATGATGACGATCATTCGTTTTCAATGTATAATTACGTGTTTTACTAAGTTTTTGAATTTTCTTTGGCATATTGATTTTATTCGGGCTAATTAATGATTTAATCATTAAGTAAAATTTGAATTTTTAAAGAATATTTAATCGAATAAATAATGAGCATTGATTGAATTGTGATTGGAAGAAAAATTAAATCGATTTTGGTCATAGATTTGGTTGTTAAAATATCGAAATAATGAGGATATACGTTTGACGTCAATGTAGACAAACGTAATTAGAAACAAACATACACAAAGAGAGAGAGAAAAAACAAAATGATTTGCTCAAATATGGATGGTCACAATAAAAAATTTATGATGTTAATTCTGGTCAGTACAGAAGAAAAAAACAAAACAAAATCGATGAAAATATCATTTGCGAATACAGAAAAAAAATTGAACTAACGATTTTTTTTTGTTTTTTTTGGGCTCGTTTGGTCGTACGAAAGAGCAATTTGATTACGATAATGATGATGATGGTGATTTTAAGAAGATAATTATCATTTGTACCAAAAAATTAAATTGTTCAAGGTCGAATGTATGTATTTCTTCATTTATTATCCAAAAATATAATTGAATCCAACAACATTCAACAGGTTTGTTGTTTTTGTTTCAGTGATGATAAAGGTATTCAGTAGAAACAGTGTGATGATACCATTTTATTATTATTTTTTCCTGGAAACTGAATGATCAATATAAAATTGAAAAATTGTCAGAAATTTTAACGAAACAAAAAAACTACTACTTACATCAAAGAAAAACAACAACAACATTCGAATCAATCAAATATTTTTCTTTATTGAGGATTGGTTGAATGCATTCAAAATCTATGCAATTCAACATTATTTTTTGATTTCTTCATTTGTTTTTTTACAATCATCATTATGAATTAGCCATAACAAGTTTTTTTTGATTATGATTTTTTTTATTTCGTTGAATACAAGGGCGTATTCTCGCTTCACTTGCCATTCATCAACTTTACAAAGTTCAGTTCATTGATGGTGTTTATGCGTGATGATGATGATGGTAAAAAATTTCATTTACATAAAGACAATTAATAAAGAGTACATCGTCGTCATATCATTTGATCATTGATTTCTTCATTATATAAGATGCCAAGAAAACTTCTTTTTCATCCATCCATCCATCAACAATTCATATTGTTGTTTACATTAAAAAAAAATGTTTATTAACGCCATCTATTGATGGTTTTTTTCCGAAGAGGAGGAAAAAACTTAAAATTCAAATCGATAGATGGTACTGTGTGCAATTAAAAGTTTTTTTACTTTTTGAAAAAGTTGTAATTTATTATTATAATGAAATTCCGGCAATCAAACAAAAAATTGCGTAGGTGTCTTTTCTTGGTAAATTCATCAACAACAAAAAAAAGAGGCAAAAGTGATTAACAAACAGAATAAAGAAACAGAATGATTAAAATGTAATAAATTTTGATTGCGACAGGCGTTGTCATATGATGATGATGATCATCACTTGATTCATTTCTATCAAATCCAAATCAAAGGGAAAAAAAATAAAAATGATTGAAAATGAATCAAATCATGAATTGAGCAACTGAATAAATAGAAAAAAAATTATTATTATTATGGCCAAATCTATAGCTATAGAGTGGTAAAGAAAATCAATAAATTCTGTAATTCTATCATCGGGTAATTCTGTTAGTTAGTTAGTGAATAATGAATAGCGAGAGAAAGCCAAAAAATTCCAGATTGATCAATCTCTCCCCTTTCTCTCTATTGAAAAAGAGAAATAAAAAAAAACAACTTTGGCGACAAATCAAATCAAATCAAATCGAATGAAAAAAATAATAACTACAAAAATCCTAGGCGTTTTCATTCATTCAAACAACAAAGAATTTTTTGTTTCATATAATAAAAATAATAATAATAACCTAATTCAGTTTATCAATAAAAGTTTAGTTTTAGTTTTATTGCAATTTGAATTTACGCTTGGAACAGAATTCGGAATTTAAACGACGACGACGACTAGACAACAACAGCTTTTATTAAAACGAAGGAAAAAAAATTCATTACCATCATTGAAAGTTAACAACAACAACAACAACAAACTCTTTATTTTAATCGAAAATTCTAATGGGATAAATCAAAATCATAGAGAAAAATCTTTTTTTTATCGAGAAAAAATATCGGTAAATAATCTTTCGCACACACACACACATATAGAGAATCTGGGTTTTTCCATTTTCACTTAATAATATCGATTATTATAAACTTAAGAAATTATTAACCGTCTTTTTTTTATAAATTATTAATATTAAATATATTAATCTTCTTTATAGCTAAAAGGATTTTCATTTCATCATCATCATCTTAATAATCTTATTTCAGCTGCAAATACACACACACAATGTTGTTGTTGTTGTTGTTGGTTTTTTTTCACGACAAAATTTTATTATAGAAAGTGTCAAGCTAGAAAAAATTGATTTTCAATCTATTTTTACAATTTTCATCGATCGATTTTCAATCAAATTTTTTTTTTATAACCAGAATTGATATCGCTAGATATCCAGCATATGTTGTTTGATTTATATTGAACAAACAGAATCCGAACAAAAAAAAAATCCAGAATCAACAACCAGAAAAAAAACCCAGAATCAAATAATTTACCTCCTAGAATCAATTCAACAACAACAACAGCAGAAAAAATTCTCCAATTTCATTTGAACGAAACAATATCCATTCTGTTGTTGTTGTTTTTGTTGTTGATGAATGGCTATTATTATCATTAGATTTTTTTTTTATTTCTAATTTTATTTCTTTTGATTAAAAGTGTGTTTAAAACAAAAAAACAAAAAAAAAATGTTTCATTAATGCATTTACGAAAAGAAGAAAATGAAAACGAAAAAAAATAGCGACTGCGTTAACGCCGGCGCCATTCTGTTCTGCATAGCCAGAATTAAACCAACGTACAGAGAATCAACCAATCGACCAAACCAAAACAAACCCCAAAAAAAACACAAAACTAAACTAAACCGACCAATTGTACACACAATTGAAGAATTTTTCTTTTCGCAATAAATAAAATTGCTGCTGTTGTTGTTGTTGACTTTTATTTCTTTTCTTTTCATTCCTTTCGACAAATTTCTTTTCACATTTTGTTGTCGTTTTTATGCAACATTTCAAGTTTTTCGTTTTTATTCATCACCATTATTATTATTTGCTGATGATCATGGCCTTGTTGTTGTTGTTGTTGTCGTCGTTTACATAACATGACAAAATGTTGTTGTTGTTGTTCAATGATTCTTCTTCTTTTTCTTCTTCGTCGTTTTTTTTCGTTCACATAAATTTACGAATCAAAAAACCGTCAAGTGTGTGTTCGAATCAATGTTTGAATGTTTTTCATTGTTGTTGTTGTTGACATTGTGTGCCTTTATTTTTTTGATTTAAGAAAATTTATTTGCGAAAAAAAAACGTGCCAATTTTTCTTATTTGATTTATATATCATGATGATGGCAGAATCAAGAATTTCATTACCAAAACAACAACCAAAACAACAACATTTTAATTATCGAAAAAATTGTCAATTATTAATACCATCATCATCATCATCACCAAGTTTAAATTTTAAAAATTATCATAGCATTGATGATGACAATGATGATGATGATGATGATGATGATGAAAATTTTAAAACAAAATTAAAAATTTCAACAAAAAATATAACAAAATCATCATCTTTAAATGATAATATTTTGTTGACAAGAATACAAATGACAAATTCATTAATGAATAATGATGTTGATGATGGTGATGAACAGCAAAAACAACAACAACAACAACTTTCGCCGGAAGAATATGAACAAATATCAAAATTATTATTATTACATTTTAGAGATGGACGACAAAATTCTGCTACTATCGATACAATCGGACAACAATCGCAATATTTAGAAGATGATCCACATACATGGCCATCAAATTGGCAATCACAAGCACCAAAAATGATATTAACACCTGATTTATATTTAAAAGAAAAACCAACATTAAATGAATATCAAAAAAATTTAATTTATAGAATTAGTAATAAATATGAACCATTAAAATATTATTATTTACAAATGATTAATCAACAACAACAGCAACAAAAGTTAAAAAATCATAATAATTCTGTTGAAAATGATTTACCTTTAAATTCATTTGAATCATTTGATGAACAACAACAACAATCGTTTAATAAAACATTTTCACAATCAAAAATAAAATTTTTTACAAAATTTAATGATTCATTAAATAATAAGGAAAATAATCAAGCAAATAATTTGTTAATTAATGATAATGATCATCGATTTAGTAATATGAATCACATTGCCAATGTAACAGACCATCATAATCATTCAATATCACCATCAATAACATTATCGTCAAAAAAATCGTCATTATCATTAACCCGCACAGCAACAACTAATTATGATAATGATATAATTAATGGTAATGATCAAATATTATCGGTTAATAATATTCATTATGATAATTTGATTAATAATGATAATCAAATATCGATTGAACAATTTCAAAATCATAATAATAATAATTCATCATCTGTATCATCATCAAAAAAACCATTTAAAAATGATGAAAAATTCATAAATAATCAAAGATCATCATCATCATCATCAAGTAATCAACATATGTCAACAACAACAACAGGTTTATCAACAAAATTATCAATATCATCAATACATTTTGGTAAATGGTCAGCTAAAATGAAAGATTATTTAAGAAAAAATTAGATAAAAAAGGTCATCTACATTTGTCAATCTCAATCTTAATCTTATAATCTTTATCATTGTTATTGCTATGTTTTGTATTTTATTATTTTATAAATATTTGTATTTTTTGAATAAACAAATGGCCGTGAAAATAAAAACTTTGTTTGTTTTTTGGTTATTGAATATTTTGATTTTTTCTCCCAGTTTTGTTATTATTCTGATTCTGATTCAATTCGAAAAACAATCAAATCAAATCAAACGGATTTAGGTGAATTTGTTCGGATTCACATGTGTGTGATCGATTGATTGATTTATTCTTTACATTTGTATATTCTATTTTGTAATTCTTGATTGTTTATATGAAAAAATTAATAAATAAATAAATATTCACAGAGAGAGCACGGAAAACAAACAAATCACATCCATTGGCTAAAAGTTTTTCATATGGTTTCCTTGATTCTGGCCAAACAAAACAAAAGAATAAGAATAAGAATAAGAATAACAAACAAATGTTACAAAATCTTAAAATCAGTAAGCTTTGTAAGTTTTGTAATAGATATTATTATTATTATTTATAAAGTGTATCATGTGCCAAAATCTTTTTTTTCAATTCAATTCGA